AAGCCCGCAACGGTGCTTCCGTTCACCTGTTGTAGCTCCAGTCGTAGCTCACTCTGTTGTATCCCATCATGTCCCAGTTTCTCCAGTAGAGACCCCAGAAGTCCAACACGCTAAGGCCGCTCACTTCGCTGCTCACGCTGAAGCCAAAGCCCGTAACGCCATCGTAGCTCACTCTGTAGTATCCCACGAAGTCCCAGCCATCGTCAATGGTGTCCCAGTCGATACCGTCGAAGTACAACACGCTAAAGCCGCTCACTTTGCCGCTAAGGCCGAAGCTCATGATCGCAATGGAGATTACGTTCATGGTGTTGTTGGATACACTGGTGTAATAGCTCCAGTAGTTCATCACGTACCAGCCATAGTCAACGGAGTCCCAGTTGATACCGTCGAAGTACAACACGCCAAAGCCGTCCACTACGCCGCCAAGGCTCAAGCCCTCAACGGTCACTACACTCACGGAATCGTAGGATACACTGGTGTAGTAGCTCCAGTTGCTCACCACGTCCCAGTAGTATCCACTTACGCCCATCATTACACTCCATCTGTATACACTGGACCACAATACGTCCCAGTAATTGATGCATCCGGTGTCCCAGTAGAAACCCCAGAAGTTCAACACGCTAAGGCCGTCCATTTGGCTGCTCACGTTAAAACCGCTTCCAAGTGGTAACTTTTCCAAAATTGAAATTGTTATAAAAAAAGGCTGTCCATGTCCAGAGTTTCTGAATGAAACATAACTCGTTCAGTTAGCTGACTTATAATTGTAACTCATGATTTTTTTTTTGATGTAAATAAATAAGAAATATACAAAACTTTAGTTTACTTTCTTTTAAACAAAAATCTTTAATAAAAAAAGTATTAATTACTTTAGAAATAATTAGACACAACAAAATCATACAAACATTTTGATTTGACTAAATATTTAGTATATTACTAATTAATAAATTATGGAAAATTTAATAGTAACGATTCTTTTAAGATAATTATTATTATTTTCTTGACATAGATGATTTTATACACTAATTATTTTTGAACATTATCACTTAAAATATTTGTAATTTTTTTTACATATATTATATATGGTTTAGTAAATAACAAATAAAGGATACATATTTATTTCAATACTAAAAAGTAACGTTTCTTTTATGACACCGTATATTTGATGATACATTAGAACATGATTACATATCAATTATTAGTAAATATCTTGAATTATAAAAGTACATAAATGTTCTTAAAACTAATATCAACTTTCTTGTTTCATCTGTATACTTATCAACAAGTAATAACATAAAATTTGGTATTGCAAACACATAACACGCATAAAAACGAACGTGCAGTTATTTATGAATAATTTTACAAAAAAACATAACTCAGAACAAAAGGTAGGAAAATGGGTAATTTCACTTCATTCGGCAAAAAACACGACAACAGGAAACAATTGTTTGTACGAGTTTAAATTTTGCATCAGAATGAAACTATTTGTAAGTAAATATTATTCATTGAATACTTAATAGTAGAAGTCAAGAAATTTTACTTAAACTTATTGTTATTCAGATATTATTAGTATGCTTAGCAACTTCGGTTTTGAGTATTCCTAATTACAAGGCAGATGCTTCAAAGCCGCATTTTAGACTTATTAGTGTAATTCGACATGGTTCAAGTAAGTAATTTTTTGTAAATATCAGTAAAAAGATCAATTAATTTGGTTTAAATTCTTTAGATTATGAAAAAATTGATGAAAAAACTACGGAAATTCCAATAATTATTGAAGATGCGAGAAATAAAAACACATATCCAGCAGCCAAATTGTATGAAGCTAACTCACATACAGGTTAATAATCAATCAATTTTTATTACATTTAACAATTTGTATTTACATTTTTAGGACCAGTTCGACCGTTCGGACAATTTCTTATCAACGGTGAAGAATTTGTTATTTAAATGGAATTGTAATAAAAAAAATTGTTGAAATTGTTAGAAAATACCATAATAATTGCTAAGCTTAAGAATTTTAGAAATAAATAGCAAAGTAATGTTAACAAATACATTTGAAGATAAATATTTGCTTTAGAATTTCGATGAAGATCGAAAGGTTAAAAACCGGAGTATTAGTTGAGACTCAAGGTTATACAACATCCTTAAACGAAACGCGTGTATCTCTCGCATTTCTTCCTTCTCTAACATTCTTATATAACAAATAATGTGTAAGTATAAACAAGTTACAAAAAAAAAACAACAACGTTGAGATTTATTTGGTCTATGACAAAATAGAATCATTGGAAAAACACTATGATTCACATGAATAATTAATGCTGCCTATTAATAAATTACTCCACACTGAACTATATTAGAAATTTCGTTCTTGTTCTTGAAATATTTTTTGTTTGAAGGCGATTCGCCGAGTATAAAAGCGAAAAGTGGAATCGATTTAGGCACAGTCTTAACAGTCCTATCAAACAGGAGGTTAATAACTACTCATAAAAATGAAATTCTTTGTAAGTAATTGAAGATTTTATTTAGAATTGTGGTAATTGTTGTGATTTTATTAATTTAGGTTGTCTTCGCTTGCGCTTTGGCCGTTGCCTCTGCTGGATACCTTTCTCCTCTTGGTTATGGAGCTCATCATGTCTATGGAGGACATCAAGTCTATGGTGTTCATCATGTAGAACATCAACATCTTCCAGTTATTGGAGCTGATGGTGTCCCAGTCGATACTGCTGCTGTCCAACAAGCTAAGGTTGAACACTCCGTGCACAAGGGTCATGCTGAAGCTCGCAACGGAGATTTGTACCATGGAGCCATTGCTCATGGAGTTGTCGCTCATGGGGCTGTAGTAGCTGCCCCAGTTGTATCAACTTATGCTGCTCATTACACCCCATCTGTGTACACTGGCCCACAACACGTCCCAGTCATTGGAGCCACCGGTGTCCCAGTAGAAACCCCAGAAGTTCAACACGCCAAGGCTGCCCATTTGGTCCACAAAGCCGAAGTACAAGCCCGCAACGGTGATTCCGTTCACGCTTTTGTAGCTCCAGTCGTAGCTCACTCTGTTGTATCCCATCATGTCCCAGTTGTAGCCAACGGAGCTCCGGTAGAGACCCCAGAAGTCCAACATGCTAAGGCCGCTCACTTCGCTGCTCACGCTGAAGCTAATGCCCGTAATGCTATCGTAGCTCACTCTGTTGTATCCCACGAAGTCCCAGCCATCGTCAATGTCGACACCGTCGAAGTACAACAAGCTAAAGCCGCTCACTACGCCGCCAAGGCTCAAGCTCATGCCGTCAACGGACACTACGCTCACGGATTTGTAGGATACACTGGTGTAGCTCACCACGTCCCAGTTGATACCATTGAGTTCAACAAGCCAAAGCCGCCCATTACGCCGCCAAGGCTCAAGCCCTCAACGGTCACTACGCCCACGGAATCGTAGGATACACTGGTGTAGCTCACCATGTCCCAGTCATCTCCCACGGTGTCCCGGTAGAAACCCCAGAGGTGCAACACGCCAAGGCCGTTCACTTCGCCGCTCACGCTAAAGCCCTTTCCCAATGGTAATTCAATCTTCTCAAAAACTGTTATAAAAAAAACAATAGGCTGTCTCATCCAGAGTTTCCAAAGCAATTTGGTTAGCTGGTCCAATAGTTATGTAATTTACAATGTAAATAAATAAAAAAAATATAAAAAAAAACTTATTTCTACAATATCGTTTTTACTATAGATATAACCCTTACTTTCATTTGAAAATTTAGTAAAAAAAATTAATGGTAATTAGATTATAAACTGAAAATACAAAAATATTAACATTCATTTGCTCTATATAAAGAATTATTAAAACTTTAGAATTCATATGTAAATGTTTCTAAAGCAATTTATGGATGAATTTAATTCTTTTATTAACTACAAATGAAATAAACTTGTTAAATATTACATATCTTTTGTTCCTCATCTTTATTATAATTGATAATTTCAAGATTTTGAAATATCTAAATGTATGAAAAAATGAAGATTTATAGACAATAATTACAAGAAACTCATTAGCAAATTGATTAAAAAATAGGTAAAATTTTGTATGAAATAAATGATTTAAGAAAAAGTAAATTGTTAATTATAAAATATAATTATTTTTTTATTTTTTTCGATGTATAAGTACAAAATTTGTGAAATTACATAAATATCAGCACACAATTACGAAATACTAATTAATTTAATTTTAAAACTGAAAATACAAAAATATTAACATTCATTTGCTCTATATAAAGAATTATTAAAACTTTAGAATTCATAGAATTCCTATGTAAATGTTTCTAAAGCAATTTTTGGATAAATTTAATTCTTTTATAAGTACAAATGAAATAAATATTACATATCCTTTATTCCTCATCTTTAGATATACAAATTGTTATGTAATGTTTATTAATAACTTATTTAGAAGCATTTTTCTTTAAATCTTCATTACTTCACATTTTATCTAATTACCAAATAACCACTTACAATAATTAGATCACTAAATGTGCAAATTAAAGACAAAACTCTATCCTTTCCAATAAGACTATTACTAAATTTATAGTCTTTTCGGTTCTTTAAAAATATACAATACAATTTGAACAATAAAAGTAAAATGCATAAATAAATTGTTGATATAAAGAAATGTATTTTTGTTGATAAATCTACATGCTATTAGTCAAATTAAGTGATCTCGTTAAGGTAACTATTAATCATTTATGTTCAACGTAATTTTCTAATGCGATCTTCATGAGGTCGTTGACTTTGTCAATGAAATAATAATATTCTTCTGGGCGTGACTAGAAAGGTAGTTGCAGCGAAAATTTAATATCTCTTTGCCGAAGACGAAGGTCTCTCGCTGTTAGACCTCGACCTGATCTACAACAAGTACAAAATTTGGACCCAAAAACTATCAAAAAACGTGCTCAATCGTTGTAGGTTAATCTTTCCAAAAAAAAATATAAAAACTAGTTATGCGAATTACAATTAAACAAACGAAAAATAAAAAATGCAATTTAAATTGTAAGTCGAAAGAAAGACAAGTTTTGCGTAATTCGCGTGTAGGTATTCGGTCGAATGTAAATGAGGAAAGGCAAGGTCTTTAGTTTAGAATTTAGGTGTGAAAATGTCGATAATAAATACGCATTTATTGGTTTATTTACAGTAATAAATTAAGGTTTGATTTGTGAAATTAATAGTTTCTTTGGTAATGGTTGACGATTTTGTAGTCGTTGGCGGCTGATGGTGTAAGGAATGGGGAAGCCATGAAGTCGCGAGTGAAGAAGCTCTTCGGGTAACGAGAGAAGGCTTGAGCCAAGTAGGCTTCTCTGGCCATCTGCACTTGCGGGGTGTTCATGGGAGGAACGTAGTTCTCGGCGGATTCCTCGAAGATCTCTCTGCGCGTCCTCAAGTGTTGATGATGGTAGTATCCGCGTTCTGCGGCAACAGCGGCCCTTTGCAAGAGGTGTTGCGTCCTGGCTTCCTGCACTTCCAGAGGTTCGACCGGGACTCCTTCGGATCCGATGACCGGGATGTGGATGGGCCCATCGTAGGCGGCGACCAAAGCGCTCAGAGAAACGAGGATGATCTGAAAGAAAGTAAAACTAAAACCACATTCTTAAAGTCTTCAAGTTTTCGCACACTCACGAAAGATCTCATGATTAACGCTGCTGTTGCCTGTCTGTACAGTTAACGCTTTTTGATGTAATCTCAATTGGAGCTTCAATATTTATGCTGAAACCCCACCAGTAAACTCTCTGATCCGTATAGTGTGTGAGTGTTTGAGTGAGTGTGTTTTTTTGCATAAATTAGCGAACGCTTTCCGGATGTAAACTAGGTAGGAACAAAACACCCTTGAACGGCTTTTGCAAAAGAGAGAAGAATCCGTGTAGAAATTCGTGTACAAAGCGCAGCGCAATTAAAACTGTTGCAATTATAAAATACCGTGCCAAAAAAAATTGTACAAATAAAAAAAAGGGGACTCGAAGGTGGACAGAGTGGAGAAAATAAAAGTGCGATGAATTTGTATGTGAGAAAACGGCCTTTCGTGTCTTTGGCCCCAATTTAAATTCCTTCTTTTTTATTCTATACACACACTCCTATACTGTAGCGTTCTTTATAGGAGGAAAGGCTACAAAACGACATTGTCTCTCGTTTAATTAAGGCGTGGTCATTAGAAGTTTATATATAGAAAAAAAATGTGTAGATTATTAATATGTATTTATGAAGAATTAATATAGAGGCATTAAAAAAGGTTAATGAGAGTGTATAAGAATGTTACGTGATTTAGATAATCGGAGTTTGCTGCTTGGCTTAATGAGTGATTAAAGCAAATCCGGTTTTTATTCTTTCAGGAAGTGAAATGTTGTTGAAGAATTTTTATTATTGATAATTTCAAGATTTTTAAATATCTAATTGTATGAAAAATTAAGCTTTATAGACAATAATTTTAGTAGAAACTTATTAGCAAATTGATTAAAAAAATAAGTAAAATTTTGTATGAAATAAATGATTTAAGAAAAAGTAAATTATTAATTATAAAATACACTAATTTTTTTATGTATTCGGATGTAAAAGTATAAAATTTGTGAAATTACGTAAATATCAGCACACAATTACGAAATACTAATTAATTTAATTTTAATGAAAAGGAAAAGAAAAAATTGGAAGTGATACAAAAATCAGATTTATAAGATTTTGTAAAAGAAGTGAAATAAAAAATTGTTATTTTATAGGAAAATCTATGAGAAAATAGCAAATTGTTATGTAATTTTTTTTGTATAAGTTAGTTATAAGCTGTTAAAGTTGAGCATTAAAATTGTAACTAACACTTTTATACTCTACAATTTTTATTTAAATTCTCATCAATCACGAAACATAATTAAATGTAACTTTAACATAAAATTATAACAATTCCAATGACGCTATGTACAGATTTGAGGTATACTGAATTCGTCAGTTATAAGCTAACAAAAATCGATTTATTTTGTAATTTTTTTAAATAAAATTCCAATATATTTTTTTTGCTTATTTTAAATTAAATTATAAATGTTAATAAATTCATATAAATAATACTTTGTCACGTTTTATAATAATAATATTAGTTTTCAAACGTTCTTAATTAATGTCATTACAATAAAATGTTTTAATATGAAAAAAAAACACCAATTAAAATAAACATAAAAAAACAGTTGTAATAAATTAACTTAATAAGCTTACTTAATTCGTGTAGATGGAATTGAAAGGTTCATTGATCTCAGACTTTTTCAAATTTTAAAGTTTTCTTGTCTCATTTAATTCAAAATCCAGACCATTTTTTTTTGTTATTGCTTGAATATATGAAAATGATTGATTAATTTTCGTAAGAAACAACATTAATATTCATTAAACTCAGAACAAACACAAATTGAATTTTGAATTTGACTATTGGCTATTAATTCATTTAGTTTTTATTTACATTTCTATCAATAAAAACAATTCGATTTCAAAAGTTAAATCGAAAATAAATCGATGAAACTTATAAAGCTACGATTAGTATGGGTAACGTTAAATGTTTTAAAGTGTCGTAAAATGACAGCTATCACTTTACACGGTAACAAAATTTGACGTTATTAAAAACAATTGTTTCTCAGTACAACTACAAACTGGTTATATTTAGTTCATAATTTAATTCAATATTTTAGATGCTGAAACGTCAAGCGTTTAATTTATCTTGAAATGACAGGTGTCACTTTATACGTCAAAATTTGACATTATTAAAAACAATTGATTCTCAGTACAAATACAAACAAAAATGTTTGAGAAAACAAGGCAAAACATTTAAGAAACATTGGTCTTATTTAGTTCATAATTTAATTCAATATTTTAGATGCTGAAACGTCAAACGTTTAATTTGTCATGCAATGACAGGTGTCACCTTACACTTCAAAAAACGTGAAATTTTGACATTATTAAAAACAATTGGTTCTCAGTACAACTATAAACTGACATGTTTGAGAAAACAAGGCAAAAAGTTTAAGAAACAGTGATATTATTTAGTTGATAATTTAATTCAATATTTTAGATGCTTAATCGTCAAACGTTTAATTTGTCGTGAAATGACAGGTGTCACTTTACACGTCAAAAAACGTCAAAATTTGACATTATACAAACAATTGGATCCTAGTACAACTAAAAACTAACTAATTTGAGAAAACAAAGCAAAGAGTTTGAGAAACGTGAAGAATTCATGTAAATTTTCATGATGATATCGATTTTATATTCGATTTCATTTCTTATTTAAAGATATTGCAAGATCAATTAGTCGATTAGATTTAGTTTAATTATTTATTCATTCATTTTATTACATAGACAAAGTACAAATTTGTATGGAATCATTATTATATGCGTTATAATCGTAAAGTAATAATAAATGAATAAAATTCCAATAACTTTAATATAATAATAATAATATATTTTACGATTTCTCGTAACAAATTTATGTTATTTTACAAATGTGTATATAATAAACTTGCACGTATTTACGATATGAATATGTGAATCACACTCCCAACACTTGATTTAACGAAGGTGCGGCATTTATATAAATTTGCAAAAAAAAAAAAATGCAAGTGACTTCAGATGATTAATGACATTCATCTCAAGGATCAAGCAATTCCATGCAGTTTTGTGTTATTCATGGTCATTTATATTTCTTAATTTTTAAGGGATTTTAATTGTAAACAAAAATATTAAAGAATAGATTGAAATATAATCAAAAAAATTATATAAGAAATATTTTTTTTAACCTCACCTTTTCTTTAATTATTCGACAATCATTGATTCTAATTACATAATTAAACATGCAAATTATAGATAAAGTTATAAGTTTCATAATGAATTGATGTCATATTTTGGGGTTTGTGTCGTTCTTCTGATATGAGCTGTTAAAGTTGAGCAAAAAAAATGTAACTTGGGAAATAGTCTATACTTATTATTTAATTACTCAATAACTGCAAAAAGATATTTCGATCATTGAAACATACAAATTTAAGATAAAATCATACGCTTTTCAATAAGCCTAAATATGGATTTGATGTATACACAATTAGTCAATTAAAAGTTGTTAAAATTGAAGCAAAAAAAAAACATTTATTTTCTCATTTTATTCAATAGTACAAAAATAAAATTCTAGTAATTTTGTTCGCTTATTTTAATGATCATTTATTTTTTCTTAATTTTTAAGGAATATTAAGGGATTCTAATTGTGAAGAAAAATATTAAAGAATAGAATGAAATATAATCAAAAAAATTAAAAAATTATATATAACAAAAAATAAAACAATTTCTTTTTAACGTCTCCACCTTATCTTCAATTACTCGATAATCATTTATGCTAATTTCATAATTAAAAATGCAAATTAAAGATAAAGTTATAAGTTTCATAATGAATTGATGTCATATTTTGGGGTTTGTGTCGTTTTTCTGATATGAGCTGTTAAAGTTGAGCAATAAAATTGTAACTTGGAAAATAGTCTATACTTATTATTTAATTAGTCAACAACTGCAAAAAGATAATTCGATTATTCAAATATTGAAATTAAAGACAAAATTATACGCTTTTCAATGAGCCTAAATATAGATATGAAGTATATACAATTAGTCAGTTATAAGTTGTCAAATTTGTAGCAAAAAAATTATTATTAATTCAATTAAAAAATATAAATTTTATAATTCTTAAATCAAATTTATAATAAATTATAAGGAAAACAAACTTAATTTTTATATTTTTTTTCGTAATTGATAATGTGTAATACAATTCCAATAATTGTTGAGTCAATATTAAAATATTTCAATGTAAATGATTGAAATTTCTGAGAAATAAAATTATGAATCTGTGTTCCGATTATTTCGATCGAAGCTGAGGCCAATGTCACGAGATCCTTCGAATCCAACTAAATTCTTGTTCCGCTCCTTCCTGTTACCACAATTAAGGCGTGCTTCGTGCTGTAATTAATCCTACGCATGAATTGCGAGGATTCATGGCTACAACGACGAAACATTTGTAAGGCAATTGGGTGAAAGGAACCTTTTGCACTTGAAAAGAATATTTGGGAAGGCCTCCAAACTCACGGTATAAAAGCGCACCGGCGACCATCGAACGGCACAGTCTTAACAGTCCTACATCAAAAAGGAGGTTAAACGAAACGTTTTGGACACGATGAAATTCTTTGTGAGTAACAATATGGATTAT